GTCAGGTACGCGCTTTAATCGGGCGCGCTTTAGTGGACCGCGGTTTTGACGGGTCATGGATAATTTAGGATCAACTCACCACTTTAATGAGGGGACCACTACTCTGTCATGCCAAATGCGATCTCTGACCCACAGTTGTGTACCCCTGCTCTAACAAATATTTTCAAACACAATTATGCATGCTGGGCTCCACTGGACATAGGGCTTCAACGTATGGTACTGAACCTCAAATCATCTCTCGGGAAAATGTACCCATTCATCCCAGAATACAGAGGCCATTGGAATGAGTAATTAAAAGCAAAAGCAAATCACAGGTCAAAAACACTGCATGTAGCACCATGACACAGAGAAGTCATTACAATTAGTCCTTGTTTTACAACCATTCCACTTAGCAACTGTTCAGAGTTACAACAGTCCTGGAAAAAATGACTTATGACTGGTTCATTCATTCCATTCACGGTCTATTCATGACTGTCACAGCATTCCCTAGTGTCACGTGATCAAAATTTGGACACTTGGCGACTGGCATATGATGGTTGCAGAGTCCCAAGGTGATGTGATTGTTATTTGCAGCCTTCCCAGCTGGTTTCCAACAAGCACGGCCAATGGTGGGAAGCTGGATTTGCTTAGCAAGCCACACAATTCACTAGTTGAATTGCAGACATGATGAAATCCTATCGGTTGTGGTGGGGTAGGGTGAGGTAGGAAAATCCCTTTGCTCCAAAATGAACAATTACGTAATCTTGACTGGAGGAGAAATGGGAAAAGAAAGAAGAACACGACATATACTTACTTCTCGGTTTATCCGAATCTTAGCAAGCCCACAGGTTTTGAGAGAAAAAGAAATCAGAGACAGACAGATTAGCCAGACAAGAGCAAAGGAAGAATAGACCCATTAGTAAAGGGGGTGCATTAAAGAGCAACACTGATGGGTAGAGAAGGAGCAGCAACAGGAAAGAGTGATGGGTTTAGTATGACTCATTGAACTTTCCCATTCAGAAACATTTAAAATGTACTTTTGAACGTTGTCTCCTTTTGACTATTTGCATTTTGAATCCGAAATGTGAACGCTCAATGTGACCTTTGAAAACGGAGAACTTCTAAAACATCATCCCTCTTGGATGTCAGCAGACAGGATTTTAATACTTGTTCAGCGAAACACTATCAAAGAGTAGAAAAGGATTGCATCCAGGGAAGCAAATGTTTATGGTACATTAATTAATAAAATCGAATAACAAGGTAAGGGTTTATATATTGAACCCAAATGTCATTATACGTCAAATTCAGATACCCAAACATTGACAAAACCTTCCAATATCCATGGACTTTGCAATATTTTGGACTAGTGATGGCATTCATCAATCATTTTTTCCCCTTATTCTAGTGACAGCGTTATTTCCAAAATCAAATAATTTCTAACATTAATTCTGGGGCACAGGGTTTCCATCCATGTGCTTCTGTGACTTGATGTGGTTGTTGATATTATTTCAGTAAAGTTATTAGTGTTTTTTAATTTTTTTCATCAGGAAGAACATGGGGGAAGTCCATGTTAATCTAAGGGTTGCTTTGGAAAACAAGCTCATCCCTTGAGACACATGAATGGTTTAATTATATACTGCATATACTTTTAATCTTCTGATTTATTCCTGCCCTATAAAGATTTCATTCTTGTGCGAATGAACCAAAGAGGATTCCAAAAAATCAACAGGAATAGATATAGCATGAAAAGGAGGAAGGAGTAGGAGAAGAAGAACTTCTAAGGATGCATATATGAAACAGAGACTTGGGGTGTAACAAAAGGGAAACAACCTTCTGTATTAAACAACCAAATAAGTTTCTAAGGCAAAAAAAATGCATAACAGAAACAAGAGAAACTGACATACTTACATCAATGTAGTTGGCATTGATATAGTCAGAATTGGGATCACCAAGAAGTGGATGGAGCTTAACCCGGTGTCGGTCATCTGGAAACAAAATCAGATATGACTGTTTAGAATAGAATAGAATAGAATAGAATAGAATAGAATAGGCATAGGCATAGGCATAGGCATAGGCATAGGCATAGGCATAGGCATAGGCATAGGCATAGGCATAGGC